CCCACAGCCATTTCCTCTTGTTCCACTTCCCCTCCCTCCTAGATTGTAAGCTCGAAAGAGCAGGGCCCTCAAACCCCTCGTGTATTGTATTGTTTCTGTCCTGTCTCATGTTCTGTCCCCCTGCTATTGTACAGCGCTGAGCAAACCCTTTGGCGCTATATAAATACTATATAATAATAATAATAGTCATCAGAGGTGTTAAGGGTTATTACTAGTGATGAAACATGGTGTTTCCAGTATCCGGAAACAAAACGCCTGAGTATGCAGTGGACAACAAAGAAGTCGCCTCACCCGAAGAAAGCACGCCTGTCTCATCCTCAGTTCAAAACCATGCTGGTGTATTTTCACAGGGGGTTCATAGTATAGTCAACCAGCATTGAAATTCTGAAATGGTTACCAAACCTGTTTGGAGGAAAAGACTGGAACTCTGGCCTGACAAGTGGATTCTCCACCACAACAATGCTGCACATGATGCGTTGTGTTCCTAGCCCAGAAATCCATTCCAAAACTTGGCCAGCCAACCTATGCCCTTGACTTGGCACCCTGCAACTTTTGGCTGTTTCCAGAATTTAAAAAATGCCTTAAAAGGACACAGATTTGATGGCATTCTGGACTTCCAGGCAAAGATACTGCACAGCTTTTTGGAAAACGAAATCCAGGAATGTTTCCAGCAGTGGCACAGTTGTCTAGAAAAGTGCGTTGCTTCACAAGGAACTACTTTGAGGGGACAACTGCCGCTATTGTATAAGTAAGCAAACATTTCTTTTTACAGTCCATTCCAGTAATTCAATTTTCACACCTTGTATTATAGAACAAAAAGCCAAAGTTTTGGGTACCCCCATATTCAAAAGTATAAATTCCACCCTGACTTTGGGGAGGAACCTGGTCTATAAATATGAATGAAGAAGCAGGTTTATACGTTGATAGCTAGTACCAAATTTATAGACCAGCTGGTTACACTTTGAAAGGTAGGTTTAACTTCATGGAACTGCCATAACTGAGTATTTACCACCAGCAAACCACTGTAGCCTGAGGGTAAATACTAAAAGTGCTGCAGTTTTATAAAAACACTTGAAGTATAATTATCAACTGATCCTTTTAAAACAATGACAAGGTTATCTGCTAGCTATACAGTTCATTGTTCTTCTCTTGTTCAAATATTGAAAGGCAACATGCCAAAGTTACAGTGCAATAACATAGAGAAAATGCAACACGGGTAACATAATAGTGTAACAGGGTATGAGATCAACAGGCAGAGACCGTATAAGGATGTTCGTATCACATACAAGTACAGTTACAATCAATAAGGATGTAGGAATTCCTGCATCTGGCAAAAAACAGTACATGGTTATAGGCATAGTGCTCAACTAGTAAATGAGAGAAGTGAGAAACAAGTACTGAGAAATATGTAGGGGATAAGGAAATATTCGTGTCAGGAGATAAAAACAATAGCGTGCAAAGAGCTGCAAGTCAATCTAGATTAGTGTGGGGGGGTCATAGTATGGGCTTGACACTTCTAAATTATCGTTGAGGATTAGGCGGCTATCGCCTTAGGCAGTGTGTAGGAATGTAGAAATTCGTGCTAAGTATGACCGGGTTATCCATAGGCTAGCTTCCTGGGGGAGTTGTGGGGGGTAGTAGAAAATTGGGTAATTAGGGAGGAGAGTTTGGGGCAAGGGAAAAACAAAGGGGGACAGGGAAGAAGGTGGAAAAAAAACCCAGGGGGTTAAAAAGACTGGGGGGTGGGGAGGGCATGAATCAGTGTCAAGGGGGACCGGCATATAGGGGGAGAAAACATAGAGTAGTAGCACAGGGAAATATGAATGAATATGGGTGGTAGGGGAAAGGAAAGTAGTCAAGTAAAGGGAGAGTCTTATGAGATGAGGGGGTATCCCCGAGGGAAAGCAGGATCCCATGGTAGAGGAGGGACTTAAGGTCTTAGCAGATCTCAACATGGGTATAATAGGGAATCATCAAAATCGGGTGGCAAACAATGTTCCACCTAGGTTTGCAAAGCCATTCGAAAGTACTCGCTGTATCTTGAATAACCACTTCAAGTTTAGCGTGAACCATGGCTCTCGTGACCCTATGCTTGACTTCCAGAATGTGGAGGTGGGGGTTTTCCATGCTTTAGCAATGGTTTGCTTCGCCGCAGTAGTAACTTGCAGGAATAATTTAAAATGCAAACGAGACATACCTTGAGGCTTCCTATTTAGGAGGGCCATGGTTGGATCTGTGGGCAGGGTATAGGGGAGTATTGAAGAAAGGATACCAAAAACCTCTGCCCAGAAAGTAGAAGCCAGGGGACAGTGCCACCAAATATGACAGTAAGTGCCGGGATCCGGGCAGCCTCGAAAGCAAGAGGAGGCATAGGAAGGGAGGAATTTAGCTATCCGAGTGGGAACCATGTACCAGCGCATGAATACTTTTATCATTTGTTTCCAAGGCCACTATATTTTGCAATGCTGATTTAGTATACAACCAGATATCCTCCCATTCTGGATGGTCTAAAACCAGACCGAGGTCTCTCTCCCATTTATTGACATAGGGTATGGGCAGGGGTGGGGATAGAATGTGGGAATATAGTGTGGAGATCATGCCTCGTGCATAAGAATCACTTTTACATAGCCGTTCGAACTTGGTCATGGGTGAGTTACTCCGTAAATTGGAAGCAAAAAAAATTTTAAGCTGTAAGTAACTAAAGATCTCAGATCTCGGAAGGCCATATGATTCGCATAAAAGGGGAAATGCCTTGAAGGTACCCAGAGTTTTCAGTCTGTAGGACCTAATGAGGCCTCTGCATGTCCAGTTGTGGAACAAGGAGGGGGAGGTCCAGACTGGAGGGAATGCAGGGTTGTGGAGAAAAGACAGCATGGGGTTATGGGGGGAGCGTAAGGCGAACCTCGTCTTGAGGGTATCCCATAGGGATAGACTATGTTTAGTGACTGGGTTTCGGATTGTGTGGCATTCACTTGGGCGAAGACATAATAGATTCGTTAGAGACAGCGGATCACAGTCTACTGCTTCTATAGCGACCCAGAGGGGGGTTTCATGTGTCGCGTGGTATTTTAGGTAGTTGAGCCAGGTGTGCTGCATAATAGTACTTCGTGAAATTGGGGAGGCCTAGCCCTCAGGCCAGCTTGGAGGAGAAGAGAATGGCCCTAGCAATTCGTGGTCTAACTTTGCCCCAGATATAGGATTGGGTTCGGTGTTGAAGAATTCTAAGGAAGTAAGAAGGGACAGGTATGAGAAGGACTCTAAAAAGATAGTGTCTTGGGTAGGATTGACATTTTAACAACGGTAATACGCCCCATCCATGCCAGGGGTACGGAAGACCAGGAGGACATGAGGTTGGCTAAGTGCGTAAACATGGGCGGGTAATTAGATAACAAAGATGCTGGGTCAGCGGGGAGTTTAATACTCAAAAAGATAAGATGGTGCGGGGCCCAAGAGAATGGGAGAGCGTCACGAAGTTGCGCAAGGGTTAAGGAAGGGACTGAGATATTCAGTGCCTTTGTTTTCTCCTGATGATGCGCGTTTGAGCAAAACAGCTGTAGAGAGAGATTGCTTTTTGATATGCCAGAGGTCCCGACACCACTCTCCTGTGAGTGTGGTGGCTAAGCATGTAAGTGAATTCCTTTAGGTTGGTTCTTTTAACACATATCCATTATGTTTATGGCTGTGAATTTTTAATAAAACTACTACACTATAAGACATTTTTCTTTTGTTGATGGTCTTCTGTGGTTTCGACGCGCTAAGGGAGTGGTGAAGAAATATTGGTTCGCCTGGAGCATCTTTTCTTGGAGAAGAGCTTCATTGTCTAATGCAGGCCATAGACGGTTTGTTTATTGGCCGATTTTTCATCCGAAAAACAAAACATCGGTCATTCTGTTGTCGCCAATGATTGCAAAAATCAGCCATTTTTCACAAATTTTCCAGCATGACCGATAAAAGAAATGAGGAGGAACCACGAAAACGGCCAATGCCATTGCCCCACTAACAGTGCGAAAATAGGACGATTATTCTTTCAGACGAACAAATCAGCCGATAAACAAACAGTCTATGGCCTGCATAACAGAGCGTTATTTGCTATTCTATTAGACAGCATTTGGATCTGGTGAGTGTGCATTTAACTCAAGGTAGAGGTCAAACACTATTTAAGTTATTTGAACAGAGGAGAAGACTGTCCTTTGAATATTTTGATATTTGGACTGTTCATTCCTTTTTGTGTTTATACACTTGTCATGGGTGTTATTGTTTTTATTTTATTTTCATTCATATTTTATAAGCGCTGCAAACCTTTGTATTTTGCATTTTTTTGGTGTTTCTGTGTATGAACATATTTTGCAAGCAACTAATCACTATCACTGAGCGTTGACCTTTTTTCTTACTCTATATTCTGTAGTGTATAGCATCAACTCAATCCAGACTATGTGGTAAACATGTGTAAGCGTGGTGGGTGGCGCAAAACATGTCATAGGCTATGGATTGTGGAATAGTGCGAGGCTGAAGCACACCTGTTAAAACACCTGAAAAAACTTCAAAATAATCAGGAATTTACTCTGCTCAGGTGTGAATACAGGCTAAGCGCCAATTCACACTATGGCCACATCTGACTCGCACAGGAAGGCGCTGTATGTTTCTATGTGATTCAAGATTCAAACCGCAATGCACTACATTTGCAATCTGCATTGGGTGTCAATAAAAAGTAGCAAATGCAGTGTTTGCTCACACTGGAAAAGTACAAAGGTATCATGCAATCTGGTTGCAGTACATTTTAAAAAAGTAGTGCATGCAATACTTTTGGTGCAGTGCAATTTCAGCCCATTCATTTTGAATAGGCTGAAATCACACCGCACAAAAAACTGCATGTGAATCATACAGGAATGCACAGCCTGTGCCTGTGTGATTCAGATGCGGGCATGGTCTGAATCGGCCCTAGAAGTTGAACAAGTGGTGAGGGTCTCCTATTTCATCTGTCTGTTTTATCTTTTGTTTAGGAGATTGTGGTTTACCGGATCGACTTGATTATGCAGAGCCTAAACCAGGGACTGTTGATCAGAATACCTTTCTTCATAATGCAACAGTATCCTATGATTGTAGGCCAGGTTATGCACGGATTCCTGGCAGTAAGAATTCAAGAACATGCTTAGAGGATGATACATGGTCTACTCCTGAAGTATTCTGCCAGCGTAAGTATACCATTTTTAGTTTTTTTCTTTTGTTTTTTTTGTCTGCTTTATAAAAATAATGGTATGGAAATCTTACAGTGTACTCTTGTAATTTGCAGTATTCTGATTGAACAGCTTGGCAATAATAATTGATTTTTTTTACACAGTAGAGTTTGAATTGATATATTTTATTGGCAGGCAGATCATGTGGAAATCCAGGAGAAGTAGAAAATGGAAACATGGAGGCTACAGACTTTTTATTTGGATCTAAAGTGACCTATACATGTAAAGAAGGGTAAGTCTTAAAATTGTCTTGGTAATAATAACACTTTAAAGATGCTCTAAGGAATTTTTTTTTTTTTTTTTGTAAGACTTGATTCATGCAGTAACTGCTTTACATGTTTTTGTGACATGTTTCAAAGGTACACAGAGGGGCCTTTCACAGGTGAGATCTGTCTGCTATATAAAAAGTGTATATGTATATATATATATATATATATATATATATATATATATCTCCAAGTCCATCAGGCCATGTAGAAATTTTACATTTGTGTCTGGTGACCGGACTCGAGGAGGGAAGATATAGGCATATTCAAGTCTGCATACATCTGCCCATCCATAGGAATTACTTGGGTACATTTCTCCATGGATGAAAAATCTGAATGGACACACATATCACAATTCCAATAGGCACATAGGTACTAAATAGTAACATCCATTAATAAAGTAATGTTATATTTTAAGGATGGTGTTTTTGGTGCCTTAATAGTCAGCCAGGTTTCTAATATTTAGTTTGTCGTTATTATCCCTGTAAATGTGTAATTAGATGAGTATGGTAGGTCCCAGAAGACTACAGGACCATTCATAAGGTGCAGCGCTACTCGTGCAGGCGCAGTGGGCATCCGGCTGTAAATCTGCAAGCTGTCACAGCTGGTTGCCTATATAAAAAATGTCAGCACTCGGGAGAAAAAAAGACGGCCAGTGAAGCTGGCTGTGGTGAGGACACCACTGGATAGAGGGACAGGTGAGTGTCTGTTTTTTTTAAAAGTCAGCAGCTACAGTTTTTGTAGCTGCTGACTTATTTTTTTCACATTTTGACTGGACAACTGCTTTAAGTGCCTTTTTATTCCCCCTTTTCAAAAAGAGGAGAGACAGTTCCTTCTGGCTGTTATTGGGAAGATAAGAAAGGAGCCAGCTGTTTATGTTGAATCAGGCTGGTTTTACAGCTCACCTGGCAGCCTGCATTTCTGGTGAGTGTGCAGTTCACTAGACCAGGTGTCTTCAAACTTTCCAAACAAAGCGCCAGTTTACTGTTCTTCAGGCTTAGGAGGGCCAGGCTGTGGCTGGTGGGAGTACAAAATGCCTAATGTCAGTAAACAATACCTCATTGGTTTCAATGGAAGGAATAATTTCCCATTAATGGTGTCAGTGGGAGGTATGGTGCCCCATCATTGTTAGTGGGTGAATTTTGCCTCATCATTGGTGTCAGTGGGAAGAATGGCGCCCCCTCATTGGTGTTAGTTGGAGGAATAGTGCCCCAAGGGCCAAATTAAAGGTAAGCAAAGGGCCGCATCCAGTCCCCGGGCCGCAGGTGGGAGACGACTAAACTAGAGGATGGTGTGTCACTACACATTGGAAGATATACTCATGATTGGAGGCGGTGGTGGACACACAATATTGTTGTACTTTGAACTTTTTGCACAGAGACATGTTACATGTTGGATATTTATCATTTATCACTAACTGAATTTTTTATATGCATTGAAAAATGGGAGGACTTAGTTGCATGTTCATACAGTATTTTAAACTTAGACTTGGTTGATCATATGTTCAATAAAATGTTTATCTTTGGCACTGCAAAACAGAATATCCATTATTAATGGAAAATTTTTGCAGCCTTTTCTATATCTAATAAATATTTATATTGCCATAATGCATAAATGCTACTGCAAGCCACTGTGTATAATTTGCTGTAAACATACAAAGCCAGAATGATGGGTAATAGTGCACTTTTTTGCTTTCTGTAAACAGGCAGGAGAAACGGCCCATTTGTTAAGCAGCTGACTGTGTGATTTGAAGATGTGACTTATAAGAAATAATGCATATATGTCGTTTTTCAATAGCTCTTGGGGAACAGTGCATTGCATGTACAGGAAGTTGCTGTTTCTTAGAAGAAACCTTTTATGACAGAAATAGGAAGGATATCCGTTTTCTACCTCATGAAAATGCTGGTTGCGTGGCTGTTAAGACTTTTGTCATAAGTTGAATAGGCAGATAAGGAGTTTTAAGTCTGATTTAGGATAACATTGATCACATAGGCAGCTGCCGGCTTCCAAAACCCAGTCCTTTTTTATTATTCAGGTCAAACAACAAACCATTGATTTGGTAAATAATTTAGTATTTTGAAATGGAAGAGCTAATAATGACCAAATAAAATGTGGCATTTTGTTTTAATGCTAAGATTCCATGTGACTCCTGTAACCCCCACCTTTTAATTTTTTTATTTGTCTTCTTTTCCCTTATGTTTACCCTCCCCCTTCCCAATCCCAACATATTGCCTTTTCTTTTCTCAACTTTTTTTTTTTCGTCTGGCAACCTTTTCTCGCTCTGAATTAAATGTACCAAATCACTCCCTCTTCTCATCCTAAGCACAATTATGAGCTGACCCAAATACCCTAGCTACCCACATGCCTCTAACAGAGAGCTCCAACCTACCCACAGCTTCCTGTTATGACCTGCATTACAGAAACACACCCCAATGTTGGGTGTGTGTGCTTTGAGATTTATTCTGGTTGTCCCCAGAAGAAGAAAGTGGAAATCTTCAATTGGGAGGCACCTGTTCCAGGGATAGCTCTCTGAAATGAGCAGTCTCTTCATTTTGGGAGATTTTATCTAACTGCCTGTTGCATCTCTAAGATGGGAAGCAAAGGCAATTTTCCCCAGTATTACTAATAGTTTAATAACTTTTCTATCTGTTAAATTCTATTCAAATCTACAAAAACATTTTGTCGATTAGATAATTTTAAATCACATTTTTCTATTTATCTAAAGTATAAATATAAAATACAGAAAAAAATATATAGGCACAATATTAGCATACTATTAAAAATGTGCTCAAGTCAATGAGTGGCAAATGGGCACTAGGAGCAGTTGCAAGCACTGGCTTTCATATATCCTACGTCTGTGTACATAAGTGATGCCAGGAGCCTGAAATCTCCGCTTTCGCTTCTGCTTCCTAAGGAACAGACTCGGATCAGAGGAAACTTCGTGTCAAGTACATGTTTTATTTACCCTCCACAAACCACATATATGTGCTTATATTCACAGAGTAAGACCATATATTAACAATAATACACATCCTCACTGCTCCCGAGTATGGGGAAACCACATGTGTAAGACTTTTTCACAGGGTAGCTACACAGAGGAGCCCAAAATCCAAGGAAGCACCTTCAGGCTTTCAAGGTGCATAAATTATGCATCTAATTTCCATACTACCTATCACATTTTTGGAGGCCCTGGCCACCTCTGTACAAGTGGTCAGGGAGTCCATATAGTGTAGTGCAGTTTCACCTATGGCAGCCCCACTTCCTATAAGCCAAGCAAGCCTAAGTTACTGGTATTGTGGATGCCCCCAGGAATGCCATGTTCACTGGCCTGGTGTCTTGCAGGAATGTAGCCAGCACGATGTGCTGATAGTTTAGGCTGCTGGCAGAGACGTGGTCATCAAACAGGCAAAGGATCAGTCCAGGCAGCAGGCAGAAATGTGGTCAATACACAGGCCAGGGTTAGTGCAGGCAAAGGCAATGCTGCAATGTTGCGGCAGTGATCAGGAACAATATGACTGGTGCAATGGTAATTGAGGACACTCAGTGAGTGGCAGTCATTAGGAGATACTGGTGCAACGGTGATTAGGGACACTGTGAGTGGGTGGCAGTGGTGAGGGACACTGACTGGTTGTGGCGGTAGATTGTCACTATTGTGACACTGCACTTGCTGAGGCAACTGTATGTTTCAAAAAAAATTTTTTCTCATTTTACAATATGTATTAAAAAAATGTTTACATACTCTCTCCAGTGCAGTACAGTGTCACCACTGTGTGGGGATGGTCCAGGTTTATTTTTTTTTACACTCTGATTGCTTATTACAGTGATGGCCACTGTAATAAGCAATCAGTAAGACTGTCCAAAGGTTTCATTCATTTATTCATTACAACTATAATGTTGTGATTGGTCACAGCTATCACACAGTGTGGTTGGCCCTGGTACTATGTGATCGCTGTGACCATTCACAGAGATCACACAGTAGTAAGCAAGACATCATGAATGACAGCTTTGTTTACTACTGTAACTGTGATCGCTGTGATTTGGTCAAAGTACCAGGGTCATTCATAGCAGTCTGGTACCGTGATCGGTAATCGGCTGTGTCCAATGAACATAACAGATCTCCCCACTGCACTAAGTGTGCAATAGGGTTAATATCCATGGAAATGCTGGAAGATTGGTCAAAGTAGTGGAAACTGCAGTTCAGTGATTCTAAATGTAAAATAATACCTAGGGCCTAAAAATCACTTGTTGGGTATAGTATTGGGGGTACAGTGCTGGCCAGCACTACAGAGAAAAAAAGATTTAGGAGTACTTTTTTTTTTTAGATTGCAAAATTAGAAAACCGTATGGCCATGCAGTGGGAAAAGTGATTAGAGTTCTAGCATGTATGGCTAGAGCGGTCACCAGCAGGAGGAAGAAGGTCCTGATTCCTCTCTATACATCATTAGACCTCATTTAGAATACTGTATCCAGTTCTTGGGACCTCACTTACAAAAAGATACCTGTATATGTATAGATGGGCAACAAAAATGGTGAAAGGTTTGAGGGATAAAACTCCCATCAGGAGAGACTTCAGCCTAGAGGAAAGAAGGGAAAGGGGAGACCTGATTGAAACCGTTTGATCACATCAAGGGGGTGAATGAGTTTTGGGAGAACAGTATTTTCAATTTGAAGCCAAGATCAAGAACATGGGTCCTATGAAGATTGGGATTGAGCTGTTTTTCATTGTTTTCTTATTCTGAATCACAATCCTGCGCAATGTGGTTTGTCTCTTTCGGTCAGCTTTAGGTTCTGCTTATCAGACGACAGTTTACCAGAAAAAAATGTCATCATAACTTTTGAAACTGTACCTTGCGACACGGCAAATAAATTCGCAACTTCAGTCACAGAGGCACCATCTAAGCAGGCACCAACAGTTTGTCCTCTTTGAAGCTCAGTTAGCTCTGACATGAATCTGTATTACTAGTAG